TGGTCGTCTGACCAGCAGCATGTCCTGGTCACATTCACTTGTTACGGTAGTAGCACTTGAGGAAGCAAAGTGCATCAACGACTTCGTCGCCGAGACTCGACCGCACTTTTGTGACGATATTCCCGACAGTGGAAAACACTCGTTCCGATTCAACACTCGTAGGAACTATGCCCTTCAGCCAGTTGTAGGACAGCGCTACCATGCCTGTCCTTCCTGAGATAGGTAAATTTTCCAATTCTTTCCTTATGGCCTTCGTCATCATCAGAGAAGATTGCGAAAAGTTAATCCCAGACGGGCATGAACTGGTGCCTTGCTCTGGATCTCTAACCTCATCTAGAGCTTGTTGAAGCATCGACTGAAGAGACGGCGCTGATTCAGGATCATCAGCGTCCATCACTTCTGTATGGACGTGAAGTCCTTTGGTGGAACCTCCAGATATTTTCAGTACCTTTTTACAAAGACGACACTTTGCTGTGTGGCCATCTTGACTTCTTAGATAATGTTCCCACACCGCACTGCCTTTAAATTCAGCAAAATCCGACATTTTGGCAAAGTTAGCTATAGCTTATCACAAAGGCACGTAATTAATAATTATTCACTAACGGTAACCACGCCCAGGGCGCCCGGCCAGCCTCATGGATCGTCCAGCCACGGGGCACTGACAGTAACTGAGCCACCAGACGTGCTCCCACAGTCACACAGAGAAGACGGCCGACCTCCTCCCACTCGATGGACTCGAATTCGATAGTCGGCATAGTATGTCATCGTGCAAAATGATCTGTTAAACCGAGTACGCGAGGGACGTCGCGGGGAGCGAGAGATGAGCCGAGAGAGAGCTCGTCTCTCGCCACATTGTGAAGGCTGAGACGGTGTGAAACAATGTCAATTAGGTATATATGTAACCAATACTTGTGCATAACGACTTTGCACGGCGTAAGTAAGATCTTTGGACATAAAACTGCACTGTAATGCGTTGTTACTCACTTACCTTTTTTACATACCTACTATCAGCTACACTTTATGAACGATGTTTCTGTACGTAAAATATCGGGATCCCGAAATCCCGATGCTTCTAATCCCGGGATTCGGGATTAATACAATCCCGGGATCCCGGGATCCCGATCCCGGGATTATCAGCCCTACTAGCAACTGCCGGGTTAAGGGTCAAACAAACGAACAGCTCGTCCAAGACACGAGGACCGAGGGCTACTGCTTGCAAATGATATTTATGCTATGGCATGAAATAGTTTTGAGTTAACTAAACTAAATATATGCCTGCAAATCTTCGACATATGGCCTCGTGCATGGTAGCGCGATAATTTTCCTTTGATGTTCTTTTGTACCTTGATTGCTTCTCGATTTTCAATGGACGTCTGATATCTATCCATAAATTTCACAGTTCATTGACAAGAAAACGCCCGGTTTCTAGGTTTCAATTTTATAGTGTGGTGAATCAATCTCGGTTATTCTTATTCAAATAATTGCATATTATCGATGAATGGGTGTACCATTGATTGGCAAAAAGATACAAATAATATTTTCCCTGGACATGAGTTCCGTGCTCATGGAATGCGTATGACTCACTAATCAGCACATACTTAGAACTCCGTGGCCGTAACGTTGGCTTCATATCCGCAAAGGAAATTCGTCGGTGATGCGCAGTACGAATACATTTACAATAAATAAATACCGCGGGCAAAGTTCAAGCGTATGCGACAGGCAATGAGGGCGCCTCAAGCCTAATTGGTATAGTAGTCTGGAGGGACGTGTTCGCATTTAGGAAACAGTGACACCATTCATGTCGGTAATGCAACTTCAAAATGCCATAAACACAAAGCCGTAATCGCCACGCCATATGTGGAAGGCTTTTGGTGTCAATACATACATACATACATACATACATACATACACACTGCTCTACAAACATGCTATAGCATACTGACCTGACGCACCGAACACACTAGCACACTGCCTATCTGTTCAGATTTGCTCTCTGATAAATCATATTTTATATTGGCATTTTCTGTGAATCATGTCATCATAGATATAGGTATACAATGACCGACGACCAGTTAACTTGAGGCATTTTATCATGGACAGAAAACATAAAAGTTACATCAGTAATTGTTTTTTCAACTATTTTTTTCCATGACCTGATGTTCTCGTGTAAGTCAATGTTTTCTTCAACATGTCTTCTTTGCGCTTGCGAATTCGTTAAACTGTTAATATCCATCTGCCATTTACCTAATTATAAAATGATGTTGGTGATTCTTGTACGTGTTCTTTCTTTGCGTGTGTTTCTGTGCCTGTATTGTTTTTGCACCCACGCGCCTATTTCTGCGTCTGCATGTCCGCGAGAGCGAGCAGGCGGGTCGGTGGGCGGCTGCCGGCCAGAGGCAGCTGGCTTTTGCCGAACGTAATTGGTCTGGTGATCAGCAACACACGTGCCGGTCGCCTATTGATTACACCTCCCGTGAACGCCGGGGGCCGCAGACGGGTGGTAGGGCGGCAGGACTGCAGCTGTAGGAAGGCGGCAGGTTCTGACGGCAGGGGCGCCCAGAGCCTCCCTCTGACGCCCCCCCCCCCCCCCCCGCCAATCGGTCGACCTGTGCCAGATGCATGCATTTATACATACCGAGGCTCGACCAGCGCGGCCTATTGGAAGGCAGCGCAGAGGGTGAGGGGAAAAGGCGGTGGTGTGGCGTACATATGACAACGTAACCAGAGCGTGAAAATGGGCCAAATGGCGATATGGAAAACACTGAGGCGATTATAAAGGATGCATGGCATTTCCTGAAAAATAGTTTTTAGCACAATCGTTCGTTGGCCAACACTGCCAAGTTTTATACTTGAACAGGCGTGGGAATAGATTATTGGAAACAAATGGGGGGAGGGACATTTGGCAACTTGTTGGTGGAATAAACGAACCTTAGTTTGAAAGTTGCACCCATGCTTATGAATATGCTTCTGCCATGATTATCGGTAGAATTAGCAATCGTTTTAGTTTAACTTCTTTCTGGAAACATTTCCACTGACTTTTATGTACTTATTTGATAACGGTAGGCCTGTTATAATTGCGTGAGGCTACTTGATTGCCCCAGATCTATCGGCTTGGATCGAAACAATCCAAGTGATTGTTTCCCCATGAGCCTCTGTTTAATTATGGTTAATTTACTGTGTCAGCTTTAAGAACAAAGCGATGTAACATTCAACCAGCATCAGATAAATTACACACTATGGTGGAGTTGAAGTTGATGGGACAGAATAATTGTCTTCTTCCCAAATTTATTTTTAGAAACAAACACATTCAACGTCCTCAGCGGGCACGATTGCGAGGACAGACTGCCCCAGAATTAGCTCGTTTGTCTGGCTGTCCGTCCGTCTGTCCGTCCGTCTGTCCGTCTGTCCGTCCGTCTTTCCGCCTGTCTGTCTGTCCGTTCGTCCGTCCATCCGTCTGTCCGTCTGTCCGGCTGTCTTTCCGCCTGTCTGTCTGTCCGTCCGTCCGTCCGTCCGTCCGTCCGTCCGTCTGTCTGTCCGTCCGTCTATCCGTCCGTCCGTTTGTCCGTCTATTCGTCCGTCTGTCCGTCCGTCCGTTTGTCCGTCTGTCCGTCTGTCCGTCTGTCCGTCTGTCCGTCCGTCCGTCCGTCCGTCCGTCCGTCCGTCCGTCTGCCCGTCTGCCCGTCCGTCTGTCCGTCTGTCCGTCGCTCTGTCGGCAGCCGACGTCCGCCTTGTCTCCGCCGAGCGTCGCGGCGAATTCCGCGTGTCTTCCGGTCGGGGCGCCTCGGCTGCCGGCTCCCGCTGGAGTTCAATCTAATAATCGGGAAATCAGCGCTACAGTTGGCATGAATACCAATGCGCTGCGCCGCGGCGGCGCCGGCGGCCCGCGCTAAGGTGACGCACCGCCGCCCGGCCCGGGTGGTTTAATTCCCCGGCATATGTAGCAAATAAATCAGCTGTCAGTGCGGACCGGGCCGGGGCGGCGGCGGGGGGCGGGGGGGATGCGGACGGGGAAGGATAGTGTGTCCGGCCGGCGCGGCGGTGCGGCTACCCTGGATAGCGATCCACCTCAACAGTAACCCGGGGGACAGCGGATAGATGGAGCCGCAGAGATTGCACCGCCGCGCCTCCAGCGGTGCGTGAACGCTGCGACACGTAGGTACCGTCGCCGCCGCGACCGAATGGATGTCGGCCGGCCCGTCGTAGGCGGTCTGTTTACCTAGGGGATTACCGGCGCGTCAATAGCGGTATTGACGTGGCATACGGTCCCGTACACAGCTCACTATTCCGAGGGAGGCGGCTAACATAAGCACTGCTACCACCGCCCACTCTCTGGCGGCCTCACAACATAGCACGGTGCTGGGAATAATACTGGAGTGACGCCGGGGCGGGCATTATTAGCACCTCAGCCCTCTACTTGGCAACCGAGCCTGGTGCCTGTGTGTTTGCTCTTAATTTTCCAGCCTTCTTACACAACGGAGCTGGCATACATAATAAAACCTGGGTATAGTGGCCCAGTAAAGCTTTGTGGTGCTACTTGGTCAACATAATATCCAGTGTCGGCGAAAACAACTGTAATCCGTGTGTGCTGAGGTCACACCATTCTGGTTTTGTTCTTCGCCCGTCCTTCAGCTGTCGATACTGCGAGTCTGTTATATGCCTCTTGTCTAAAAGTCCAATCCACCCAGCAAGGAAAGCAAAGTCCTAAGGCCTGTCAGCGAGTTTTTTGACCAGCCTGTTTTGCTGGTTCGATTGCCGGCTGAGCTGACGACTGATCAGCTCCCTATTAGCTTCAGACTTAACCATTCGCCCGCAAGGCTAAGCCCTTAACAGTTGCCCGCTGACCTCAGTCTTGACCAGCTGTTAGCTAGGCTCAGGGCTGAGCAGCTGGTGATTGAGCTCAGCACTAAGCACTAAGCAGCTGCCCGCTTAGCTCACCACTGCCCGGCTGCTAGCTCCACTGCTCACGTGCTCACCACTGACCACTGGACCTGCGCCGGCAGCTGCTGCTGTACGAGCTGGTGGACGACCGCTGTCCGCCCGGCAGTGTCGCCATCGGAAAATGTGTGCGGAGGAACATAAGCGCTGCGCTCAGGTCAGTCCTGGCCCGCGCCGGTCCTCCCCACACCCTCACCAATCGTAGAAGGGGGAAATGTCAGTGAGCACGAGGAATGCGGATGTCTGTGAAAGCTAGGAATACAGCTTTCGTCAGCATAGGTGGCGGAACGGGGAGGGCACCGGGACACCGTGCCCCCCTTTGATTTTGGCATTTTAACATTAGCGCCCCTATGGGCATTGCATGGAAAGAATGGGACCAAAAGTCGGCAGTCCCCCCCCCCCCCAATTGAAGGTGTTCCGCCGCTACTGCTTTCGTGGTGGATTTTTGTGAGTACGCGGCGAGGGCAGCTGTCGTATACGGGGAATTCTTAGAAGCTGTTCGTAATGTCTGTGCGTGACGTATAGGCGCATTTGAACAAGCCTGTAAATTATAACTCGATCGAGTGAGGGTGCAACTTGTCAGACAGCAATGCATGCCATTCTCATGGCCATCAAACGCGTACTTACAAAAGTCGCAGCAACTCGTGACCTCTGACGTATCGACATAATTCACACGGCACAGTTACCGAAGTGCAAAGTCGTGCAGCGCGCGGCTTAGTAAGAACGACCCTCTGCACTTGTAACTCGGACCGGGGACGCGGAACACCATTAATCGTCACAGTGCCAAGCGGTGCTTGTAATCATTGTAATGCAGCAATACCATGCAATGTATCGGTGGCGATAAAACCGCCACCACACTGCATCGGTCAATGGTCTATCGAGCTGGTATTTCTTCTCACATAAAGCCGGCTACTCTGAATCATTTCTGGACTCAAATTTATCTGCTTAGTGCACGCAGCCACTCGCTACTTGGAGGATGATTCAGTCCTATATCCCGCGACCTGGTGGGGGGGGGCTATTTTTTGCCCCCCCCCCCTCCAGGCTTTTCGATATATCTCCAGAACCGCTGCGCCGATCGTCACCAAACTTTCAGTACCCTCCAGGACACCAATTTTACACATTGTGACCAGAAATTTTTCCAAAGGCTATGATAGGTTGGCCAGAAATGACGTCAGAGTGACGTCATGTTCTGCCGTTTTCGACCCAAAAAAGGGTTTTGCGGGAAGAGCTGTCAGGCCTATAGCTTTGCAAATACAGAAAAATGATAAACACATATTTAAAAGCTGTAGATTGGACAGTGCTACAAAACTGCTACCTCGGATTTTTGAAATTTTTGGATTTTGACCCCCAAAAAATCAAAAAATAGATTTTTTGGATATAATAATCGAAAAATCCAAAAAGTTTTCCGAATTTCCAAAAACCGGAATATATGTGATAGTCCTTACCGCCTTCCATCTACATACCAAATTTGAGATTGATACCTCTTTTTTTGGCGAAGTTATAGCGAAAAGACTGTTCAAAATTGATGATGTCAAATTTTCAAACTCCATTTTTAGCAATTCTAGACCCCGTAGCGCAAAACAAAGACCACCATTAGACTCCCCGTGACGAGCTGCATCGAATCAATACCCATTTTATGCAAAACTATCAACTTTAAAATTTGACCTTTTTTGGCCTGACCTTGACCTGACCTTGACCTGAACTTCACCAGAAAGTGACCTAAGCCGTACCTGATAGTCTTATAACCAACACCATTGAGTTGGAAATGAAAAATTGGCCATAAAACATGTATCACACAACCTTAGTAAAGTTGGGCTCATGTGACCTGACCTGTGACCCTTGGTGACCTGACCTATGACCTGACCTGGTATTGCCAGTGACCTCTAATGGCAACATATCTACTAGGCAACTGACGCCCTACCGCTGATTCTCGACAAAATGCGTTTTCCTCGGTGTTATAGCGCATTCCCTAGAAGACCCGTGAACGGTGAAACATTTCATCTTTGACCTGACCTGTGACGTCATCGGTGACCCCGAGGTCAATGAAATTTGGTTTCCTTCGACAAATTTGACAGGCCTTTCGAACGCCGTTTGAATTTTGCGGATCCGTCCAGTAGTTTCGGAGATACGAGGAGGGGGGCAAAAAATAGCCCCCCCCCCCCACCAGGTCGCGTTATAAACAGACCCCACCAGGGCGCGGGATATGTCTTGAGAAGTATTGGCTGACGACGCAGACCAACGGATCAAACATTACTGTTCTGGAATATAATAAGCGTAAATGCATTACAGCGGCGATCTCATGCAAATTAATTGTTTAGATTCAGCGTAATGTCTCTCCTGTTTTCCTCAACCTTGTTGTTTTCATTAGGATAATTGTAAGTTCCTTGAATGCATAATCGCTCCTAGTCTTTCACTGGATCCAATAAGCTGTACTGCCAATCGACTAGTATCGGTCGCTCGGTTCGGTGCTCAATGTTGGAACACCAGTCTCGGCTCAGGGTAAGGCGCTCCGCCGGAACAGTGTGTTTGCCGGCGGAAATGCGGGAGCGCGGCCCGGAGCACGTCTCGTTAGTCCGTGAGTACACCGCCGCCCCCGCCGCCGCCGGCGACGTCCCGTGCTGCTCCGCCGACCACCTCATAACCTGCCGCACCCATTTGTCTTCGTCACTGTCCGTCGCGCCAGGTAACGACTGCTGGCGAGCACCGCGAACTTCTCCACAGCGCCGCAACGCAGCAAAAATACACTCACCGAGAAAACCTGGACCGGTCGCCGGCCTTAAAATCGCGCCAGGGCACTCCACAGGCCCCTCAGACTGGCGGTATTGTTCAAACGCGCGGCGGGTAGTCAGCGCCGCTAGAGCTTCGCGAAACTAATAAGCGGTGCTGCCATATTTGGCGGCGAGCTTACAAATGTTTGGACTTGACAGGGGACAATAGCGGCGCAGGCGTGACGCAAACAACGGCGTCCAACGAGCGAGCCACATGCGACGCCAACAGGAAATTGAACGCCAGATGAAAAGGCGTCTGTTTGGAGACTTTGAACGCCTTTCTGTCCAGCCAACAGCGAATAGTTGCAAAATGAAACAGGGCAGAGATGCTAGAAATAAGGAAGGTCAACATGCCTTGACTCTTTGTCATCCGAAATAAAGTCATCAAGGAATTGGCGAATAAATTGCGCAAGTATCGAGCGGCATCCTAAATTGTGGCTTGATGACAGTTTATTAGGGATATTAACCCGCGCACCGACGGGGGTCTGCGCCAACTTAGTACCGACGGGGGGGGCGGATGACCGCCCCCCTCTGAGATCTCGAGAACGAAGCAAGATAACGACAAGCGGTAAACGGCATCGGATACGCACGGCCAAGATCTACAATTTTTACTAAGGTCATTTTCAGGTCAGGTCAAAGATGACGTCACAGGGGTCGAAAAAGTCAAAATGGCGGCGCTAGATATGGAGAGAGTTTTTCTCGAATAACTTTCGAATTAGTCAAGATAGGAACAAACTAAGGGCATCATCGTGATCCTCTCGTCAATCCGCATCGAATGATATATATGTTGACCTCGAAAGGTCAAGGTCAAAGGTTGACCTCAGGTCACGTGACCTCGAGGTCATCATGTATATCATTCGATGCGTCTTGACGAGCTGAACACAATGAGACCATCCACGCGTCTGTATCTTGTTCCTGTACGGAGTTATTGGCCAAAAACCTTTGGTGACCTTTGATGACGTCACATGACCTCACAGCTGCCCAACAGCAAAACAGACCTCAAGGTAGTGAAGGTTGATCGTATATGAAGTCATGTATGGTATATGGGGCCATTCCGACCCGTTTTAGTGGTAAAAACAGGGAGTTGATTTTTCCCCCATTGACTTATAATGGGGAGGTCGCGAAATTGACCTGACCTTAGGTCACCGATATCAAAATTCCGAGATATAAAAATTGTAGCTACTAATGACCTAATAATATCCTGCGACTTTCAAAGGCCTCCGACATCTACTGTAGCTCTGGCACGGTGACAAAGTTGCAAAAAAGTGACTTGAGGTTGGGTCATTCAAAGTGACCTGGTGACCTGACCTTAAAAGTTAGGAGATTCAAACTTGCACACCATGTGTAACATTGATGAGGTTATAGTCATACCAAATTTCGCGGCGCTACGCGCCGCGGTTTTCCCGCTATTCGCGAAAAACCTCAGGGGGGGTGGATATCCGCCCCCCCGTCGGTGCGCGGGTTAATGTTGATGGATGATGTTTATGGGTATTTGAATTACGTAATGAAATAATTCCGGCTATTGACTACGTGATGCAAAGCGATTAATGTATTACGGGTTGTCATGAGGGCCTACAGAACTTCACCTCCTCGGCCAATGAATGGAGGATAATTACTTTACATGTAATTAAGCTAGGTCGCGTGCAACACATCAAAATGGTTATACAAAATCTATTTTGTGAATTTAGTTGACTTTGCGAAGGGGCTCTGCCTTTTTGTTCAATCCAAGATTGTGGATACTGTCGCGCATTAATGATGTTTATGCCAGGTTGCGAGTTTCGCTACAATCCATATTCGCCTCCACGTTAATTGTTTCCAGTGTTGATTGCAGACTTCTTGACTTGTTATTTCCGTTTTATTTACTTAATCAGGCCGGCAGTGGTTGGGTCATAAATTATCCGTGGCCGCCGCGGCTGTGCGGTGCGGCGGGCTGCTACAGTGGCGGACCGCGGTCGGTAATTTGTACGCCGGATGGGGCACACGGGGCCGCGCCGCAACGAACGAGCCTTATCCGATCTCGCCAGCCCGTGTCGCTGCCGCTGTAAACTTGGCCGAAATTCATGGTGATTCGGCAGCAGATGCCCCGTTTCCAGGCGACTTCTCAATCTCCCGCCGCCAGAACGGGCAGTTCCTTTCAATATGGCCTGGTATTCTGTTCCGCATTACGCGGGAGCCATGCGGCACAGTCTATAGCGCGGCAGATTCCGGCCGCCGCGCTATGCTGCCTGAAGTTTCGCCACGGCCGACCCATATCGCCGCCGACGCACGGCACAGTAATGAAGTACAAATTGGTTTTCGAAATCTTTAGACGCTTTCGTGGTGTGCATAGAAGTGTTGGTTACTCACGCCTGATGAAGCTTTGTGATCCACAATGCGATGCATAACTTTGGAAAGGAGGATGGCAATTATGGATTTGCCATGGTTTCCAGACGCCCAATGCTTTCGGCGATGGCAATGGCTACTGATATACACCCACGGTTTGTATGTGTGGTAAAATGTTATGTTACATATGTTTTTATATGTTGCTTGCTACTTGTGTTACTTATGTGATATGTTTTATGATAAACGCCATACAAAGCGACCATCCCACAAGATCCGTGGTTAACAGCTCGGTTAAAAAGCATTTGTATACGAAAACATTCCGAAGATATCGTTTACTGTGTGATATTTAATCTGCCGAATATTGGATGTTTGCTGCACTTCAGACCCTAAATTTGTTCACCATAGGCGTCATTTCTCAGCTCTGGAATGTTACAGAATACATATTACATATATGCGGGGTCGTCATCAGGCAGCAGAGCAGAACTTCCTCCGTATAGACGTTGGAATTTTCTCGGAGAACGTGAAACACGCACTTGTGGCTGATACGTAAAGTAAGTACGTTTGGGCCTGCTCTCCTGAGAAAACGAAGCCTTCTTACTAGGCGGCGACTCACTCGCTTCTTTGAATCCCAGTGTCCAAGAACTCACTGTTACTATGTTACTACTTTGGGATTTTTTACTCTTAGTCCCGAGAAACCTCCCTCGGGACGCCATCGAACAATGATATTGTTCGTTGCCAAGGGATATACCAATTTGCTCGATACCATGCTGAGCAGCTAACCGTGTGAATCAGCCATCAGAAAAGTATCAGCTGTTTTGCTATATAAAAAAAAAAAAATACTATTGGAATTCATGCAATCGTTTTGTGCGCCGGGGGTAGCTATTCGCTTTTCTTTCGTCAGCCGGCTTTGCCCGTTTTTTTTTTTTTTTTTGCTTCTCACCGAATGGGCCCACGTCCGCCCTGTCCACCGCCGCAGCCAGCTAGATGGGGCTCGGTCTCACCCTCCTGGACCATCGCTCGCCGTCCGGACGCCGTGCGCGTCGGTCAACCGACGTCGACTGAATTATTTTTCTATTCGCGCGGCGGACACGGCGCGGAATTTCAATTAGCTCATCAGTCGGCGGCGGCGCGTCTGTGGCCGTCGGCCCCCCGCCGCACCGAGTGGGGCGATATTGTGGCCGGCGGACAACGCTGAAAGCACCGCGCCCGCGTCAGACGCCGCTTTTAACTCCGAAAAGAACAGGCACGTGCCTGGAGAGCCAATGGCGCTCGTCGTGCGGCGGCGTATTTAATCTTGCGGGATGAGCAGCGGAATTAGTGGCGACCCTGTTTGTCGCCGTCCGACACATGGCCGACGGAACGCCCTAATTGTGCCGAGATAGGACGCCGTCGCTTGAGGCACCGCTTTCCTGCTTCAAGCAATCAGTATAGAACGCCTGACAACAATTAATCCCCCGTTTTGGGGGGAGGAGGAAGGGATAATCCTGTCATGGTCTGTAGCTGTTTGACATTCCGCTCAGGCCAGCCACATTCACATGCCACATTGACGTGCCTGGTGTCAGTGCCATTTTCAGACCACTCTCCGAAATAGCACACTGTATTTCAGCACATGATTCGGCCGGTAAAAAGGCGTCGCGGGCGCCGGGATCAGTTTCAATCTATCACGGCTGTGTGACGATCTAATATCCCGGTCCGGATGCGGCCGGCAGGGGATATCACTGGCACGGCGCCGCGCGCGCCCGGTTATCGGACGCCGTCGTCCGCGGGCCGGCACCGCTCGGCGGCCGGCGCACGGAGCCGCCACCTCTCACAGAGGGGAAATTAGCTACCCAGAACGGGACTCGCTGCCAGACCCAGTCACACCGGCGCTGACACTCGGCAATGTACGACAGCTTCAGTGCTTCCGCCTACAGGACGGGGAATTTTCATATTTTTCGAGCATTTGACACCTCCACGCGTCACGTTTGCGTCTGATAATGACCTCCCTCTGAGAGCCCCTGCGGAGAAGGCAATTCTCTGATAATGACCTTCCTCTTTTGTTAATTTGAATACAGCCCATGCTGTATTCAAATTAAATTAAATGGGCAGCCGAATACAGCCCATGCACTTTTCAAGCAGTGATTGCTTTTCATATTATATACCCTCTTCACACAGTCAACAAAATAATTGCAATCGGGACAAGTCAGGAAAAGTAATATTGGCCAAAATGTTTCGTATACTATCTCACAGCAGAGGTATAAGGATATAATTGATAAGGATAAGAACCGTTTAATTCCAGGAAACGCAGTTTAATGGGCTGCCCGGTGCATTTTACTCGATTGCTTTCTTATAGCAGTAATGTCTCCAAGATTATAGTAACCTACCGGTTGCATATTTAAAGGCAAGGTGAAAAAAGAATTAAAGTAAATAGATCAAAGTGCATTTAATTGTAACAAAAGTCGATGCCTGTCTGGGCAGAGTTTGCGCTGTAACGTCGAAACATTACCAGAAACCTGAGACATTTGGTTTATAAGATGCCATCGGCCTGTATCCTCCAAAACTCTGTTCAATAAATGCACCAGTCACCCGAACTTCTCAGTGCTCAACGCCAAAGTCACCGAGTTCACGGAATGCGGGGCCGCCGTTGGATGTTTGATCGTTCACCTTTTAATTTGTTTCTGTTTCAGCGCCGAGTTCCGCGAAGAGCTGTCGCTGGGCTGCCGGCTGCGCTGCCAGCACCTGTGCGCCGTGCTGGGTGTCGGCGAGGACCCGGCCGCCATCCTGGTGGAGCACTCGCCGCTGGGCGACCTCAACCAGTTCCTGCAGAGCCGCGTCTCCGAGACCAGCACCTGCGCCGGCAGCGTCCTCAGGTGGGCAGACGCCGCGGTCTCAGCTCCTGTACCAGCGTCGCACTCAGCGCTGGTCTTAGCGCTAGTTTCAGCATCAGTCCCTGTCTCGAGCCCGACCTGGCCTCGCCCGGTCTCAGCGCTGGTCCTCTCTTGGCGCGGTGACCGTCCGGTCTCTTCCGGCTGGCCTCTCCCGGTCCCAGCGCTGGTCTCTCCCGGAGACCTCCCGGTCCATCCCGGAGACGCACGGCGCGCTCCCTGCGGTCAGCGCCGGTTCCCGGAGACGGCGCCGCTGCCCGGGGATATTAAAAGTTGTCGGCAGCCGCGCACCTGGCCGAGCCCCGGGCGATCTCAAGTTGGCTGCACTCCTAGCGTGGCTCCCACTCGCCGCGCCATCAGTATGCATAAGAGGGGGATCGCATGCGGGCTCTGATCCCGGTCCCACCGCAGTGTGTAACAGAGCTGGCGGGCTTTGTAAACCCCGGGGTGGCTCGTAGCAACTCGTGGTCGGCTGGCTGATGGTTTCTGACGTTACGTATATGCTGTGTCCGTGGGAACACTGCCGTGTACTTTCTTCCAGACACGTGACTTAGGAAGTCGCGTTAAACTTTATGCTTAGAAGTTCGCAACAAAAATATATGTTTCTAAAATTAGTCTCAGGCATCAACTCCTTCGCAATTCGCATCTACACACACTTCTGTTTGTGCCTGTGTGTCTGTGTCTGTGTGTCGGTGTCCGTGTGTCTGTGTCTGTGTCTGTGTGTCTGTGTCTGTGTGTCTGTGTCTGTGTGTCTGTGTCTGTGTGTCTGTGTCTGTGTGTCTGTGTCTGTGTGTCTGTGTCTGTGTGTCTGTGTCTGTGTGTCTGTGTCTGTGTGTCTGTGTCTGTGTGTCTGTGTCTGTGTGTCTGTGTCTGTGTGTCTGTGTCTGTGTGTCTGTGTCTGTGTGTCTGTGTCTGTGTGTCTGTGTCTGTGTGTCTGTGTCTGTGTGTCTGTGTCTGTGTGTCTGTGTCTGTGTGTCTGTGTCTGTGTGTCTGTGTCTGTGTGTCTGTGTCTGTGTGTCTGTGTGTCTGTGTCTGTGTGTCTGTGTCTGTGTGTCTGTGTCTGTGTGTCTGTGTCTGTGTGTCTGTGTCTGTGTGTCTGTGTCTGTGTGTCTGTGTCTGTGTGTCTGTGTCTGTGTGTCTGTGTCTGTGTGTCTGTGTCTGTGTGTCTGTGTCTGTGTGTCTGTGTGTCTGTGTCTGTGTGTCTGTGTCTGTGTGTCTGTGTCTGTGTGTCTGTGTGTCTGTGTCTGTGTGTCTGTGTCTGTGTGTCTGTGTCTGTGTGTCTGTGTCTGTGTGTCTGTGTCTGTGTGTCTCTGTGCCTGTTATATGTGTCTCTGTGTCTGTATCTGCCGGACAGCCGCCGCCGGTGGCCACATCATTGATCAGAGCCGACAGCCGGCACTGCGGCCGGCTGCTCGGCGCTCCGCAGCTGTTTAACTACAGTTTAAGTGTCGGCTGGCCGGCCGGACGAGCCGGGAGCCCACGCCGACAGCTCCGCGCCGCCCCTAAAATAGGCTCATGTTACACGTGGGGCCGCCATGTGATCAGAGAAATGACCCGGCTCTCCCCGATTGCTTCTACTGAGGCGAATGAAATTGTGACAGCTGGCGATATGTGCGCTGTTCATGAGACGTCAATTCATAAGCCGGCTCGCCGTTTTGCAGGCGCGCCACGCTTATGGATGTATCCAAATAAGACCTTTGATTGACTCATGACTGATTGAATGCGTCGATAGGAATAGCTCTAACATGCTTGCCGTTTCTGTTGTTCCAGTAACGGCAGTCTGTTGTATATCGCCTCCCAAATTGCGTCTGGAATGAGCTTCCTGGAGGACAACAACGTGGTACACAAGGACCTGGCGACGAGGTGAGAACACCGATGTGCACTGAGAATAGTGTGATCAAAGGGATACTCTCCACGATTGGGGCCCACACTATCTTTGTCATAATCCCCGCGAGCCTCTGGGTCGCTGCAGTCCGTCCGTCGCCGCGGGCTCGGCCCACCTCACTAATAAGGACTGATGTCTGATGGTGGATAGTGGCACTCCTCTCACGCTGAGCCGCTGAGCCGCTGAGCCTCTGAGCCACTGAGCCTCTGAGCAATGAGCCGGGACATTACGACACGCATCGCCGCCATTGGTGTAATGGGGGTCAGATGAGCTGGCGGGGTGGGTCACCAGTCACAGATTGGAGGACATCGGTCACCTGTCTCCAGACGCCGGTCACCAGCCATCAGTCGGCAGCCACCTTTCTCTAGTGCAGAGATGCCTCAGCGGTCACCTGTTTCCAGTGGCGGATCCAGGGGGAGGGGGCAAAATGGGCATTTGCCCCTCCCAAACGGCATAATTTTAACATTACGCCTATGGACGAGGCATGGAAAGAATCGATAAATTGTTATGGTTTGCCCCCCCCCCCAAAAAAAAAAAAAACTCTGAGCTGGATCCGACTCTGCCTGTTTCATTTTAGAGACTTGGCGCCTCAGCTGTTGAATTAGCCATGGACACTTATGCAGGCTATCTATTTTCCGAACTTGTATAAAATCATTATCCTCTGCTCGCACAAGTAGCATTTGGTGACGCTCCGCCCGCCTCACCCGCCGCATGAAAAGTATTTGACGAGCTGAATGTGAAGTCTGTCGGTGACCCCCCCCCCCGCGCCGTTCTCGCAGAAACTGCGTAGTGTTTGACGAGCTGCATGTGAAGCTGACGGACACAGGCTCCGGGAGGGAGTTATACTCGGCTGACTACTACCGCCTGGACGACCACACCCGACTGCCGGTCCGCTGGATCGCCTGGGAGGCGCTCTTCATGGTGAGTACTGCCTGTGGTAGGACAGGAGTCCCAACCTCTCCCTGACACCGTCTTGTGATCCTGGCGGCCCTGAGCCACCGACGGGCCTCGGCCGCGCACTGAATATGATAATAGATGTCCGCGAGTTTTGTGATAAATCACCTCTGACTCGGCAGCCCCATTGGGAACTTTGTAGCTTCAGCTGATGAAAGAAGGAAGCAATTACTTATTTTCGCAATGTCGCCAAAAATGATGGTCGTTTGTCAAACGAGGGAGCATTATTTTTGCAGCGTACTATTCCAAAGCTGATTTTTTTTCAGTGGTATTTTTATCAAGTAGTATTGCCATATCTTAGCGTATGCATGGTATTTAATAGGTACCGATATTGATCATGATCCAAACCGTGCTTATTCAGATCCGCACGATGGTTGAAGAAGTGTGGTTGGCATGCCATATCTCTACTTGAGTGATAAATCTTGCGTAACCGTAGCATAAAACCTTAACCCGCGCGGGGCTGGGGTCTCCAGCCGAACGCGCGGGGCTGGGGGGGGGGTAAATTTTACCCCCCCCCCCTGTTATCTCCCGAACTAATGGTCCAATTTGGAAAATTCAAACGCCAATCGAAAGCTCTCATCACGAACTACTAAAAACATGTACTTAATTTAAAGTTTGAGGTCAAGGTCAAGGTCAGGTCAAGGGTACAAATTGCAAGTTTCTACAGTATCGGCCTTGCACCGTAGTTGCCGAAGAATGGAGTCATGGACTGAGACTGATCGCCCAAAACGTGTTCTTAGGCTACCAAGACAATATTCGTTGCATACAATATCATTCAGAGGTCAAGGTCAAGGTCAGGTCAGGTCAGGTCAGGTCACCAAAAAACAAAATATAGAAAAGGGCATGTGCGACACATGTTTTATGGGTCATTTTACTCATAGAATTCAATAGGCACACTCAATAAGTGATATGGACCACCTCTGGATGAATTTCAGGTCGAGGTCAGGTCAAGGTCAGGTCAAGTGAGGTCAAATTTTGAAGTTGGTTGTTAAGGCCTAAAAAGGCGTCTATCTGATGCAGTTTTTCGCGGCGAATCGAATGGTGCTATTTTTGTTTCCGTACGAGGTCTAGAACTTCCAAAAAAGTCATTTTTCAAGAATTTTGTGTGTCGTGACGTCATAAAACTTTAAATAACTCCCACATTTTTGAACCGATTCTTCTAAAATTTGGTATGTAGGTGCACATAGACCACTTCTCTGACATATATTCCGGTTTTTTCGATAGACTCAAAATTTTGGATTTTATAATGATTTTCCCAAAAAAGTCAGTTTTTTGAAAAAATTTAGGCCAAAATCCATAATTTTCAAAAACCGAGATAGCCATTTGATAGACAAAGTAAAATTACATATAACATTTTTTGTTACGTCTTGATTCCTTTAAAAATGAAGATGTTAGCGGCGTTTGAACTTTTGCCGTTTTTGAGGCGAAAATGGCGAACATGACGTCACTAAAACGTCAATTTCTCAAAAAAATTCCGACGGATTTCGCTCAAATTTTCAGGGAACGTGTCAAATTGATGTAAGAAAAGGTACTGAAAGTTTGGCGATCGCAAAAATTCGCGAGGGGGGTAAAATTTACCCCCCCCCCCAGCCCCGCGCGGGTTAACCAGTTTGGAGCATTGCGTCATGCATATTATGTCAATTGCCTTTTGCCTAGGTAGTTCGGTCTAACCTTCGTCCCACGTGTTAGCTGATTGGTCGATATGGCTTTGCTCCAAGTCATAAGCTGTGGTACATAGGCCGCTTATTGCATGGAGTCTGGATAAATGTCGAATGTGCATTAATTATCATAATTTCTTATGGTGGCATTGCGTGAAAACGCCGCAACTATTGGCTGCCTCTCTGACCCTGCTTTTGTATTTAACCCGCGCACCGACGGGGGTCTGCGCCAACTTAGTACCGACGGGGGGGGGGGGCGGAAGACCGCCCCCCCTGAGATCTCGAGAACGAAGCAAGATAGCGACAAGCGGTAAACGGCATCGGATACGCACGGTCAAGATCTACAATTTTTACCAAGGTCATTTTCAGGTCAGGTCAAAGATGACGTCACAGGGGTCGAAAAAGTCAAAATGGCGGCGCTAAATATGGAGAGAGTTTTTCTCGAATAACTTTCGAATTAGTCAAGATAGGAACAAACTAAGGGCATCATCGTGATCCTCTCGTCAATCCGCATCGAATGATATATATGTTGACCTCGAAAGGTCAAGGTCAAAGGTTGACCTCAGGTCACGTGACCTCGAGGTCATCATGTATATCATTCGATGCGTCTTGACGAGCTGAACACAATGAGACCATCCACGCGTCTGTATCTTGTTCCTGTACGGAGTTATTGGCCAAAAACCTTTGGTGACCTTTGATGACGTCACATGACCTCACAGCTGCCCAACAGCAAAACAGACCTCAAGGTAGTGAAGGTTGATCGTATATGAAGTCATGTATGGTATATGGGGCCATTCCGACCCGTTTTAGTGGTAAAAACAGGGAGTTGATTTTTCCCCCATTGACTTATAATGGGGAGGTCGCGAAATTGACCTGACCTTAGGTCACCGATATCAAAATTCCGAGATATACTAATTGTAGCTACTAATGACCTTATAACATCCTGCGACTTTCAAAGGCCTCCGACATCTACTGTAGCTCTGGCACGGTGACAAAGTTGCAAAAAAGTGACTTGAGGTTGGGTCATTCAAAGTGACCTGGTGACCTGACCTTGAAAGGTAGGAGGTTCAAACTTGCACACCATGTGTAAAATTGATAAGGGAATAGTCATACCAAATTTCGCGGCGCTACACGCCGCGGTTTTCCCGCTATTCGCGAAAAACCTCAGGGGGGGCGGATATCCGCCCCCCCCCCCGTCGGTGCGCGGGTTAAAGTAGTTCGGTCTTCAACTATTCGAGAGTCATGCGGAATTCTCCAGCCTAAATAACTGTCAAAATGACGTAGCTGTGTCGGTTTGTTTGGGCAGGTTTGCAGATATTACTCTGCTGTAGCTTATTGCTACCACCGGAGCTAAACTGTTAGTTATGCAGGTTCAGAGGGAGTGAAGCTGAGTGATTAATTAAACATCAAATGCGGCTATATGTATTAGCCGGTAATATTGCCCTCATGTCCGACGTAAGCTGTTCCACGTCCTTAGCCATAGGTTAGGTATTGCTTTGCGGTATCTTGAGTCTTGACGGCCTCCGAACAGAGTCAGTCTTCTTTGAAGCGGTTCGTATGCAGCATTGCAGGCTACTGTTTGAAGTCTTAAGGTATTTTGATAGCAGCCAGAACCGTGCGTTCATAAATGAAGAGAATTTTCTGAAAACGGGCAACACATAGTGAAATACAGTATATCGGTAGAGAGGTGTTCAATTATAAAATGGTTTTAGTTCTCCGACGACCAGTACCCCGGTGACACTGATCCGACCCTCCTCCGTCTGCAGGGCCAGCAGAGTTCGGCCTCTGACGTCTGGTCCTTCGCCGTCACTCTGTGGGAGATCATGACGTTCGCCAGGGAGCAGCCCTTCGAGAACTTCAGCGACGAGTCCGTCATCTCGAACCTGGCTCTCTTCTACAACAACGACGGCGGACGACTGCCGGTCAGTGACGTAGTCAAGAGATGTGTGCTGAGTTCTTCATTAAAAAATCGCTTGTATTTTAACGAAGGCAATGCATTCGTCATTCGTGTTTCTTAAAAAAAAAATAGCGTACAAGAGAGCTGCCTTCCATTGCCGACCTGACATCAGAGACAACTCGCTTCCACGGGCCTGACCTTCTATGACCGTAAATAAACGGTACAAAGGTACCTGATCTGACCTGACCTGACCTATTCCGACCTACCCACAAGAGTACCTGCCTTCGCTGCTGACCTGACCTGATCTGACCTGACCTTACATACTCTTAACTTCCCGAAGGAGTATTTGTCGCCGCCACTTACCTGACCTGCCTTGCCCTACCCGCAGGAGTACCTACCTCAGTCGCTGACCTGACCTGACGTGCCCCACCCGCAGGAGTACCTGCCGCCGCCGCTGACCTGCGGCCAGGAGGTATACGACCTGATGCTGGAGTGCTGGCGCCGTGATCACGCCGAGCGGCCGCGGTTCCGTCAGATCCTGCTCTTCCTGCAGCGACTAAACCTGGGCTACCGACCGGCGGCCGAGAGCGCGTGACAGTGGGACGCCGCCTCCGCGCCCGCCGGCAGGACGTTCGCCCTGGTCGAGTGCGCCCCTCAGACGTGATGCGGACGTGACGTGAGGACGTGGTCAGACGTGATCTCAGCGGCGACTGGACGGCGGAGAGTGTGGGTTAGACTTTGGAAGGCAGCAGAAGAGGGCTGGTGAGTGCGCTTAGAGCAGGACTCGTCTGTGGGACGTTGCAATGTGGATCGGGAGATTACAGGGTCAGAGAGCCGGCTTCAGGAGAAGTCGGTGTCACTATGAAGACATGCACAAGAAGACCGGGACGGGTGCTGTTAGTGAAGCGTCGCTGGTCTTCGCACAGTGGTCGAGTTAGGTGACTTTGCGCGGGTCGGAGCCTCGGAGGCAGCCCGCGCCGATGTGGCAGTGAAAACATGCCGTGTGAGGGCCGCAGAACCCTGCTCCTTCATCTGACATAGCATGGTGTCCCACCCGCCAGAGCCGTTTTACATACACCCAGTCGTGTGCGCGCCTGTGACGGGGTATCAGTGTGTGGACTCCCCGACCAGTGACCAGTACCAGAGGACTTCTCGCCGAGTTGACGCCAAGCGCGCTCGTCAGAGAAGGCCCGAGTCCTGGGCATGCCTGACATCCCTCTTGTGGGACAACTCGAGGTCACTGGCACTCCAAAGTGTCAGCTGGTAATGCTTTCTGTGCCAAGTGTTCTGCCGGCGCGCCGCGCTCGCGGCGGTTTGGCCCCGGGCGAGCTGCGCCGTCAAGTGGCGCAGCTGCGGCGCTCCGTTGATGTCAGCAGCGGTTAGGATGTGACCCTGCTTGTTGTTGCCTTCGGAAGGACAATCGGAGGAGATCTGGTGCACTGTTGACCCACGCCGGACGTAGTGATAGCTGCGCGCGCAGAGAGGCGCCGACGACATACGACCTGTAGCAGACCGGAAACGTGCATCCGAGTGTGCGTGACATGCATCATGTGAATCCTTTGTACTTGTGAATAAAATGTAAAGCACCTATTGGCATCGGAACCGTCCACTGTTTTTATTTGTTTTAGCGGAAGAGCGACAGGAACCCTTTCCTAAAGACATTTATGTCAAGGTGTAATTGCCCTGAACACGTCATCAAATAATCATGCACACTACTATGTTTCACGGAAAGGTTAACGTATCTTTGTTATAAAATCGGGTAAAGATTATTATGCGACATGTGTCGGAGCTGGATCTCAAATTATCGCTGCAATCGTGTCGGTATTTCAGTCGGCGTGGCGCTGCAAGTGTTGCGCGGTACGACCGGCCGGTGACACATAACGACACAGGACAGTGATGCCGCTATTTGGGACGGCCCAAAGGCAGGCGAGTTATGGTCCTCTTATTTCAATTAGTTCTCGGAATAGGAGCATCAGCCATGTCATTGGTGGCTATTAGGTCCGGACGCAGTCAGCAGTTACGGCTGCCCGCCCGGGGGCATCTACTTAAGGAGACCCTCGTAAACCGTTCATTAAAGATAAGCCCGCTCGTCTGTTACCCAAGCGGCCGGCTAAGCCGCGCCCTGTTTCACTTTGCAGGAAGTCAGCCGCGAAATGGAAGGAAATGACTGTGCCAGCGCCAGTGCCTCATAATATGACAGGTAGCAGTAGCAATGTGTCGGGGACCGGGGTCACCAAACGTCTTCAGAAAAAAAGTTTGAAATGGTTTGTCGATTTGGTTGTCGTCATAAGACGTCGGTCAGCCTACCGTCGTTTTCGAACTGCTCCTTTACCTTCTATTGCGTGCGTTCTGTCTGTATGCTAGCAGCGACAAATTCACGCTCGTTGCTAATGCGGAGTTTCTCGTCATTTACTTCAGTGACTTTCGTTTACTTGTAAGTTGTAATGCACATGACTGCAGTCGAAATGAAACATTTACATCGATCTATAATGCTTTTGTGGGGAGTTAACCCACAATTGACTTGAAAAATGCGAACGATACCGTTGACGTTTTATTATTACCTTGTAATCAACTCCTGATGACATGGTGTCGTCAGAAAATGCTATGACATGTTCGAGGGCAATATGACTTGCACCAGATCGGGTGATTGCCAAATCGACTATCAGGCATCAGCGTCTTGGAAAACTGATACCGGCTAGCAATAGATTGCCTGCCGACAAGTCCAATGACAGTGGGAACTCCTGGCCGGTTGATCGGTGTCGAATGGGGTCATTATTCGGCAAACGATTGCTAATGCCGACTTCAGCGTGCATCGCGTCATTAGAGTGACTATAAATCGTGACATACGCGGGCGCACGGGGCGGGCTCCCTGGACACCGATATTAACGGGGGTCGTCCACCGTCCCTCACATACCGGATCAATTAGTCAATGCAGGTGCTGACTGATGTGTGTGTTTAAATAAAATAACAGCGAAGAGTTGTGATCAAACTTTCAGCACACTGCAGTGTTCTAGACTTTCTCGTCTGTTCCTCTGTTTCCTGTTCTTTGTCCCGTTGTCAGTAATCCTCTGTCCTCCCTCTCTTTCCCTTCGTAAGCCCTCTGTCTGTTTGCTCCTCTGCCTGAAATCTGATTCAGATTTTAGCGCTCACTCATAAATGTGACTGCGCCATCACTCAGTTTTATGTCGTCCATATGCATGACAACCTATGTAACTAATACACCCTCTCCCCACTGTTCGGTCGCCATAAAATGAGCCGACGCAGCTGCGACCGGGGCCTGTGGAGCGCCGACAGACTGCCCCGGGCCGCCCCACTAACCGACGCCGACGCACCGCGGAGCTATTGAACATGAACCCCCGATTGACAGACGGTGTTTGCCCGGCGACGAATTAGGCGCAGCGGCGTCATTTTCCGCCGCGGTGCCGGCCCGGCCGACGGGCAAACACTCGGACCGCCTCGGCAGTCACTCCACTTCACACTCCACACTGCACCGCAATCCACTCCAATCCACTCCAATCCACTGACGACTGCGCTGTTGGCACCGAGTGGCAAACATATGTGACCGGTCCAAAGTCACCGGAATACAGACCGGATACACCGACTAGTTGAGTCTACCAAGAACCCGAACAGACACGGATGGGTATTCAAAGAACTCTTCAGCAACTTTGCAAGTCTTTAAAAGCGTCAAAACTCGACCACTATTGCTCGGTCGTGTCCTCGTGCTCTCAAGGATCATGTTACGTCGAGTAGAGTGTCGTTTTATTGCTGGTTACATCAAATATGCATTAGACAGCTCGAGTACTTGGATGAAGCATGACTTGAAGTGCCATTGTGTATGTATGTACAATGCAGGGTTGTCGACCAATCGCGAGGTGTCGTATAAAAAAGATGGTGGTCCTTTCAATTCGGTTATTTTCTTCGCTCATTTCGATATTTTGATATTATCATAAACATGACTTTCTTCTGATACTTACGTTTTAAATCTGTTTGATTTATTTCCTTTCATAATTGAAAAAGGTTTTAGTAGGCATACATCATATACCTACTGTAATGTTATGCACTCCTCGAGTATGATGAGTAAATTTACTGTATTATAGGAAGCCTGTATTATAGAAATGATGAGTAAAATAAGTGTTTTGCACCAATTACGGTATGATCTATACCCTGTATGCCGTGCGCCAGTGACTGGCATCCTCTCACCCAGCTCACCGGGTGACAGATAGCCCCTGCCGGTCCACGCGGGCTGACATCTCTGTTTGCCCGGCCGCACTGTATAGTCAATCATCCCATATTGAATCCTCGCCGGCCGGCGACCGCTCCGTTATTAGAGAAGGATGGTGTAACGAGACCCATAAATTATGTGCCGTTCCGCTCCTGCAGCGCCAAATGGAGGACAGCGCCAAGATGGCAAATTTTTGTGTTATAAAAGCGGTCCTTGGCTGGGGCAATACATACGAGACGGGATTGTTATGAGACGCGACGGTGACCACTGCTGAGGTCGTTCAGCATTCGGTAAATGTTGACACCACGTCATGAGCGATGAGAATTTATTAAAAGCTTAAGGAGTTCCAAGAGTCCTTGACTGGGGAGGGGTAACGCAGGTAGCAGAGAAGCTGGTTCAGATTACCTATAGGCACATGGTTATAATCTATATATTCAAGCAAATGGAACATCACATGTTTAGAGTGGAGCCTTCGCTTGCGAACGACCACCTATGATAACTACATCACATTCCAACGTCTGTCTCTCTGAAAACATCCAAATCACCATATTTGCACCATGTGTGCAACCTTCATTTATGAGCCGAAATGCATTAACCCGGCAGGCGGTGGGCCTCCCGGCCACCTTCCGCGCGGTGGGGGACATTTTCCCCTCCGTATCTCCGAAACTACTGGCCGGATCCGGAAAACTCAAACGGCGTTCGATAGCCCTATCAAATTTGTCGAATGAAACCAAATTTCATTGACCTCGGGGTCACCGATGACGTCACAGGTCAGGTCAAAGATAAAATGTTTCACCGTTCACAGGTCATCTAGGGAAAGAGCTATAACACCGAGTAAAACGCATTTTGTCGAAAATCTGCGACAGGGCGTCAGTTTTCTAGTACATATGTTGCTATTAGAGGTCACTGGTCATACCAGGTCAGGTCACAGATCAGGTCACCAAGGGTCACCACATGAACCCAACTTTACTAATGTTGTGCGATGCATGTTTTATGGCCAATTTTTCATTTCCAACTCAATGGTGTTGGGTATAAGACCATCAGGTACAGTTTAGGTCACTTTCTGGCGGAGGTCAGGTCAAGGTCAGGTCAAAAAAGGTCAAATTTCAAAGCTGTTAGTTTTGCATAAAATGGGTATTGATTCGATGCAGCTCGTCACGGGGAGTCTAATGGTGGTCTTTGTTTTGCGCTACAAGGTCTAGAATTGCTAAAAACTAAGTTTGAAAATTTGACTTCATCAATTTTGAACAGTTTTTTTTTTTCGCTATAACTTGGCCAAAAAAGAGCTATCGATCTCAAAGTTGGTATGTAGATAGAACGCGGTTGGGACTATCACATATATTCCTTTTTTCGAAATACACAAAACGTTTTGGATTTTTCGGCTATTATATTCAAAAAATCTATTTTTTTATTCTTGGGGGTCAAAATCCAAAAATTTCAAAAATCCGAGATAGCAGTTTTGTAGCCCTGCTAATTCTACACTTCTTATTTTGAAACATTTTTCTGCATCTCTAAAGCTGTAGGCCTGACAGCTCTTCCCGCAAAACCTTTTTTGGGTCGAAAATGGCAAAAATGACGTCACTCTGACGTAATTAGCGGCCAACCTATCAAAGCCTTTGGAATTTTTTTCACAATGTGCAATAGCTATTCACGGGAGGGTACTGAAAGTTTGGTGACGATAGGCGCAGCGGTTCTGGAGATTTATCGAACAAACTAAAGGGGGGGCAAAAGAATGCCCCCCCCCCACCACCTGGCAGGTTAACAATGCATAAACATTCAGATCGATCAACCAATACTATACATACCCAAATCCACAACGTTTACAGTCATACCACTCCATTCGCAAACGGGATGGTGGTCCTGCTCATCCGGCTTGACTTCAATCTCTACTGAATTTGCTAGGCTGAGATAAAACCGCGTGACAGGAGGCAGTAAACGGCCTACTGGATCTATGAAATAAAACTGAAATGTTTTTGGTGAGACGTAGAAGAATGTTATGGCGAATTCCTTTGCCCTAATATGCTGCACATATAATTTTACAAAGACATGAATCATAAAACAGCAGAATTAAAACTCAAAGAGATACACGAGAAGAAAAGAGAGAAGGTTATCATCAAACAAATTCTGAACAGTCAACCGCCTTCTTTTTTTAGCCGGTACCGCAACTTTAATGCATTATCGTTGCAGCTAAAGAGATGTGTCTCTTCCCTGTGCTAACTGTAAATGTCTTTTCCAAACAGTACACTAATGAGCCGTTCTCTGGCAGACGTTTGCCGGCGGTCGTCCGGCGACTTTTTGGCTCTGTGCTCGTCTCATTTGTTTTCGGGCGTCGCGAGGTGTCCGGCGGCCGGCCGTTAGGGACCGTG